CCAATTAATTTCTTTCGTATTTTATAGTATGCAGACGGTGGCCTCGCTCTTGCTCAGGCTGGTTTTGAACTTCTGACCTTGAGCAATCCGCCCGCCTTGGCCTCCCAGAGTGCTAGGATTACAGGCATGAGCCACCACGCCCGGCCAAAAATAAATTTCTGTTGTTTAAGCCATCAATCTATGGCATTCTATTATGTAAACTAATATAATCCTTGACACAAAATTACCATGAAAATGGTAGAAAACAGCAATAAAACTTGCTGATAGACAATAGACACCAGAAAACTGATGGCCATAGAACAAAATGAAACTGGGGTTATACATTCTGCCCTGACATTTACAAACTTAATGAATTATCTCCATAAAGGAAAACAAAAATACAAATGTAGGAATTCAGGGAAAAGATTACAAGACAAGAGGAGAAGAAGAAACAAAACTGACAAAATCCAGGAAAAAAATGGAGAGAAAAAATAAACTATCAAAGAAATAAAGATGAAACTAAAAAGAGCACAAATAAAAATGGACACTATGAATACATTAACCATATAAAGGATAAAAATGAGAAAAGCAAACTATAAAATAATTAGAGGGAAAATAATATAATAGCTATAGAAGATAAACAAAGGTGATCTAACACATGCACAATTGAAATTTCCAAAGATAACCAAAATATTAGAACAAAATCTGTATGTAATGATTATATAAATAAAAACTACTAAATTTAAAAACAAGAAAAGAATCATTTGGGCAACCAGGAAACTAGATCAAATAACTTATAAGTGAGGGAGGGAATGGGCTGATCTCACACTTCCCCAAAGATGAATTTACTAGAAAATAATAGTTACAACAGTGTTTCTCAAAGTAAGATCCTTTAACCAGCAGCTCAGCATTACCTGTGTGAAGAGTATGGGAATTCTTTGTACTGTTTTTGCAAATTCTTTTTAAGTCTGAAATTATTTCAAAATGAAAAGTTTGAAAAATTACACTAGGATACCATTATGAAACTGGCAAAAAACACAAAAGACAAAAATTTAATAACATATCATGCTGTCAAGACTGGAAAATCAGAACTTGCATAAGTGCTATGAGAGTGAAAAATGGTAAAATCCTAAAGAAAAACAATTTGGTAACACCCATCAAAATGACAAATGCATATACCTTAAAAAAAAAAAGGTTTTTTTAGAGACAGGGTCTCATTATGTTGCCCAGGCTGCTGGGGTGCAGTGGCTATTCACCGGTGCTATCGTAGCTCACCATAGTCTCAAACTCTTGGCCTCAAGGGATCCTCCCGCCTCAGTTTCCTGAGTAGCTGGGACTATAGGCGCATGCCACCATGCCTGGCTTACAAATACATATACTTCTGACCTACCAATTCTACTACTAGAATGTGTCCTATGGATATTCTAACATACATGTGAAATGTCATATGGAGACTTATAATAGCAAAATACTGGAAACAACTAGATTCAACAGGAGGCTGGTTAAATAATGATTCATTCATGCAATGGATTATGCCACTGTAAAAAATATGAGAAAAATTCACTTTACTGATATGTAAAGATCTTCAAGATACATACATTGGTTAGTGAAGAAAGGGCAGAAGTGTGTATGTTACCTTTTTTAATAAGGAAAAAGGAGAAGATAATATTCTTATTTGTTTACATTTTCATAAGGTAACTTTGGGAAGATACATAAGAAGCAAAAGTATTAATAGTAATCCAGAGATTGGTGGAAACTGGGTGGGTGGAGGTGGGGCCAACAATCTCTATTGTATACCCTTTTATATTCTTTATATTAAATAAAAATGCAAAACAATATGTACAGTATATAAGATCAATATTATATATACACATAATCCAAAGCCTGGCAGCATAGATAATAAGTGGTTAACAATGGTATATTAGTCAGAGTTCCCCAGAGAAACAGAAACAACAGGGTATGTGTGTGTACAGATAGAAATTTATTTTAAAGAATTGGCTCACACAATTGTAGAGTCCAAAATCAGCAGGGTAAGCCAACAGGATGGAAACACAGGGAAGAGTTGTAGTTTGAGTCCACCGGCAGCCTGTTGGCAGAGTTCCTTCTTGCTAGAGGCTGGTCAGTCTTTGTTCCTTTATGGCCTTCAACTGATTGGATAAGGCTCACTCACATCATAGAATATAATATGCTTTTCTCAAAGTCAACCTTGATTTAAATGTTAATCTCATCCAAAAAAACACCTTCACAGAAACATCCAGAATAATGTTAGGCCAAATATCTGAACACTTTGGCCCAGCCAAGTTGACATAAAATTAACCATCACAAGTCCACCCCTTGTCTATGAGGCAGCCACATACACCTCCTTAAACTTCATCTTCAAATAAAGACAATAATAAGATCACATTTCCATCTAATATGATCCCACTATCCTGCACACAAGCAAAAGCACACTAACTCTTTCTCCAGGAGGATGCAAAATATTTGGATGATGTTTATTCTCCTTGATATCCTGCAACTTAA